ATGAGTATTAGCAGCATAGTTTACATGGCTAGCAGTCAGTCAGCTATGTCTGGTTGATTTCATCCTAAAGGAGAAAAACTCTTGAGCCCTCTATACAAATGTTTAAAAATTAACATATTATTTATGTTTTCCCTGGGACCATATCACACTTTAAGAGTATATATCATTGTTGATTTTTTTAAAAAAAAAAATACATAGATGTATAAATCTAGCATTGTTACAACATTAGTGCAAGTTTTTAAAGAAAAATTAAGTATGACAATTGGAAATATCCATTACCAAGTTAGATTATTCTTTTCCATTTTAAGAAATTGTACTTGGATGTTCATGGGGAAAATTATTCCAAATCCTACTGTTACCTGTCAGAGAACTGATAGCTCTCTAGACAACTGTTTTCCCTCACCCCTGTATAATATGTAACTTTTTTTTTTTAAACGTAGGCCCAACTATGCTAAAAATTCCATCACTAAGATGACAAGCCTTTCCAAGGGGAGGGACTGAGAGCAGAGCACTCTAACTCCTGGAGTTTCACTATCATACTGTGATTTAATAAAACGTCTGCAGCTGGAACAGGAGTCAAGATGGTGAAGCTTGCACACAGCATGAATTCTAAAACGTGCTAACTGGGCAACCGGCATGTTTACGGAGGATCTGTGAATGCCTGTTCATCTAGAATTTCAGCACAGGCAGTACATAAAATATTTATACAGCAGAGTGCTGCTTCACCCCTGACAAAAGCTTCGGTTTGAGTGTATATGGTTACTACAGACAGCGCCAAGGTATAAACCGCTGAAGAACCTTTAAGGGTATTTGGAGTGTTAGAAAGTCAAGTACCTGTCATGGGGTTAAGTTTATAGTGACTGATAAAATGGCTCTGTTTCCTAAACATAAATATTTATCTCGTTGCCAGAATGGCACTTAACAGTGAAGACACATCACAGAGGAGGGAAAAGGAGAGAGTATACTAACGTGAAATTTAAAAGAATGGCCGGTGCAGAAGCTGGTCACCTGGTTTACTGTTGGAAGAGAGCGTGGAGTAGTCCCTGGGATTGCTGTTAGAAAGAAATGTTGCTAAAAACACAGCTGGGAATAATTCTGTTACCAGGTCTTTTTAACGATCAATACAAAGCTTATTTGTAAAATAAAAATATAATTATAAATTTACTAACTGTGGATCCCATTACCTTTTACCTGTAATAGAGGAATGATAACATCTGTCTAACGGGTTCATTGTAAGGTATCTTATTAAGTACTTTGTGACGACTTCCACTCATGACTTTTCCTGCATTTTCTTTGACCCTCAGAGTAGACCAGTGAAGTACTGGTATTTCCATTTTAGAGATAAAATTTTAAAAACTGAGGAAACTATTTGCAACACATAGGACAAAGTTTGTATATTGTATCCTGATACAAGGATACCTCTGTATCCTTATGGTAAGGGTCCTCTATGACTCTGATAGGCTTGAGTGGGTTTTGTTCCTTGTGGAAGCCAAAGGTTCCGGATGAATACGCCCTGTTTTCGCTATTATTAGGATACCAAGTTAATTATATCCCTGAAAGACAAAGATGTACTACAAATAAGATGACCATTCTAACAGAAAAATAAAGGACATACACAAAAAGTGCAACAAGTAAAAAATGTTCAACCTCAGATATGCTAATGAAAATGAACTTTTAAAATCTAATAGGATAGATAAAAAAATAATGAAGCCCACATACTTTCCATACATCTGACCCATGACTATTTCTAGCAAATACTTAATGGTGTGTTCGAGGATATCCATCTCACTATTATCTATATAGTCAAAAATTGTAGATGTAGATGACCTAAATGCTTCAATGGGATTTATTAAAATGGATTCTTGGACAGTCATTGAAAATAAAGGTATAGTAGACTATGAAGTGACACAATACTTCGGTCAGAATAAATGAAAAAAGCAGGTTTCAAATAATGTCAAATGATTCACTTCTAATAAAAATTATATATGCTTACACATTTGTGTATTGGGTTTATAAATGTGTCATGCATACATACCAAAGTGGAAGGAGATTTAAAAAATGCTAATATGCTTTACTTTTTAATTTCTATTTGATTTTTCTAAACTTACAGTAAAAAGCAAGCACTGCTTTGAAAGAAGAAAAAATGTTTCAAGTTATCTTTTGGATAATTTAGCATAATTTAGATTACCCACAGGTGGTAATATCTGACCTGAATCTGGACTTTTGCTCTGTTGATCAGACATATTTTAGTGTTTTTTCTTTTTTCTCTGTTAAATGAATAATTGTCATTTACCTAAAGCAGGAAAATGTAATTTAGATGTTTAGACTTGATAGCATATAGCCATTGAATAGTTCTGTAAGGTTTCTTGGAGAACAAAAATCAGGCGCACAGGGTGGTGTTGGGAGAGAGAGGCTGCAGGGTGAGCAGTCACTTATTTTTACTTGAGCTCCATGTGCATGGAGAGGTGAGGAGCAGGGAACGGTGAGACAATGTTTTTATTGGGCTGTTCAGTCAGGTAAACTTCAGGGTAGAAAAGGACCAGCGCAAACTTTTTGGCTTCCTTACCACAGTTTGTTAATTTTGTTTTGTTACTTTGTTTATTAAATTTATTGGCAATGAGACTGGTTCATAGGGTCATATAAATTTCAAGCGTATATTTTATGATACATGATCTGTGTGTTGCATTGTGTTTCGTCTCTGTTTGTCTTCAGGTTGCTCTTCCAGTTTCTCCTCAGTCCCCTGCAGTCTACATCCCGTACCAGCAGCATTGAAAATTGCCCTCAGGTGTCACCAGTGACCTCCTTACTAATTGTTAAGTCCAGTGATATCTTTTCAGTCCCCATTCACAGCATTTGACCTCACTCATCTTCCTTCAGGCTGCTGTGCCTCTCGACTCTCAAGGTTATTTTCCTCCTCCTGCAACCCCTCCCCCCACCCCATCCTCCTTTATCCGCTCTTCCTCTGTCTCCCTTCAGCCTTCACTGGGTCTTCTACTCATTTTCCTTCAAATTTTCATTTAGTCTTGAGGCGGCAACTAACTTTTTAGAGGTAAAAGTCTAGGAAACAGCCTTTCCCCACCGTGAGTCATCCCTGTTGTTGCTGGGAGTTGGGTCATAAAACGTTTTTTTGAAATTAGAACACGTTCACTTTAACACGAGATCTGCACACGCAGCGGACGTATGTGAGCCCTCCTGGCTCCACAGAGGAGCCCCTCGATTACCTGTGAGGCTCCGCCCTTGATAGTGGGAGAAGTTTCTTGTGTGAACTTGGTTGCACAACAATGGAGTGTATACCACTGAACTGTGTATTTTAAAAATGGTTAAGATGTTAAATTTTATGTTGCGTGTATTTTACCATGATAAATTTTTTTAAAGAGAAAAGACAATGGTGGAGTTAATAAGAGACTCTTAACCTCAAGACACAAAAGCTTATAAATTTCAAAAAGCATTTGCTGAGCTGATGCAAAAAATACTGGATTTGTAAAAACTCTAAAATTGTCCATGCTGAAGGGAGAAACTAACTAAAAATAATCAGCATAGTTCCGTTCCAGCTGGACAACTAAGCTGAATAAATGCAAAACAGTGGACAGTACAGTTAACCCCCACTGTGTGAGGACTAATTGTCTGAAAGGTGGGCACTGCCAGGACCACGGACTGGAGCTGCGTCTCGCCAGAAGGGGTAGGAAAAGCTGGACTTCGCACAGGGAATGGTAGGCCTGAAGGGAGAGTGTGTACATTCTTTGGAACATAAAACTTATCTGATTAAAACAGAAGGTCTTTGTTGGAAATTGGAAGAAGATAAGATAAAGTAGATCTAGACTGGAAGAACATGAAAGTTAGTAGCGGAAATTTTTTTTGTTTGCTGTTTTTTTGTTGTTGTTGTTCTTATGGAAGAGAAATGTATTACCACCATAGATAAGGAAATAGCAGAATGCTAGACTTGGAAATTAGAACAGAGAACTTCAGAGTTGGAGATAATCCTGTAAGGTGGGAATGACTATTTGTTGAGTACCTGCTGTATGTCAGGTGCAAGATCTCATAGTTTTTATTTTTACAGCAATGTTAAGGGCAGATGCTATTATTCCCATTTTATATATAACACACTGAGTTCTGAGGAAATACAATTTGGCAAGATGTGCAGAGTGCCTGGGCCAGGATCCAAGCCCAGGGAGATCTGACTTAAAGCACAGTGAGGATGGAGAACATTGAAACCAATTCTCCATTTTATAGGAAAGGGAACTGAGGCCCAGGAGAGAGGGAACCTGCTCAAGGTTATACAGGTAGTAGGATGAAAGCAATTGTTCTGTAAGAGAGAGTAGATCGGTGGCGATCTGCAGAGAGAGACCAGCTCAGAGCCTGTTGTTAGAAACAGGTAAGGGTGTCAAAGAATTTGGTAATGGTGGTGGATTGGAGTGAAAAAGAAGAGGTGGAAAGTGGTAGGACATACAAGGAAAAGTTGTGGTGGCCTGATCTTGGAATGAAGGATGATGGGGAGGGAGGGATGACTTGACAATAATCCCACGATTTTAATCCCAAGGGGCTGCCATTTAAGGAGAAAATCTTCAGTGGAGCTAGTTTTACGAGAAAAGCCAACCATGCATTTCTCAATGGAGTGGTCCGACTGAAGTAACAGATGCTCAAAGATAAAAATCGACAGTATGCATGAGCTTCTGAGGTGCATGTGCAGAACAGCAGTGGAAGGGCAAGGGAAAGGCTGTGAGGGGCCCGCCCTTTTCTTTGACGTGATGGTGAGAGAGACACCCCAAGAGCAAGCGACTTGCTTTTACCTACAGCAAAGGAGATTTGCATTTGCATGCCATCCCAGGTTGTCTTCCACTCCGGCCTGTCCCCTTCCTCTCCAACAGGAAAACGGCTTAGCTGGACGTGGACTCCTGCACTGCATGGCTGTCTCAATCAGTTCCTCTTTCCTGCAGGTCTCAAGCCTAGAAAGGAATATTTCTCCATCACATTTCCCTCAGTGAGATTCTTTTGTCTTTCAGAATGATTGTCGCTGTGCTGGATGGACTGCTGAATTATTGAATTACTTCCATCTTTTGAGCCCACTAGGAAGTTGTCCATGGAGCTGAAATATTTATTGCAGTAATTCCTGGCCATACATAATTGAGGTAAGGTATACTTTTTTCCTGCATACCTATCATGAAGTTGTCATGCCTGTCTCTTTTTACGTTGGCTTTTTAAGAGACATTAATCCATTCCTCCCCTACCTTTTGTGCTCCAGTAATCCCTCAGAGTGCTCCTAATCTGCAAATGTATATATGGGTGCAGAAAAGACATTTATAGGATGAAATATGAGCAAGCTGTTTGACTCTGTAGAATAAAGGGGAAAATGTATTACTCTTTATAAAGTCAATAAAATATCCCATTTCCATAAACACAATATGTATGCTAGAGAAAATCAATAGATTGAAAGGAGTATTATTAAGGCTACTTGGAAAAAAATGGAGATACTTAAATATTACTATATCACTGGCTTTATTCAAGTAAAGAAAATCTAGAAAGTTCAGAGAATTTAAAAGAAAAAAAAAATCTGGCGCTCCATATCCAGAGATAATCAGTGTTAAAACGGTGCTGCATCATCTGCAGTATTTGTAACAATATGTGTGTGTTAATTTGCTAGGTGTTTGGGAATGAGCAACATCACAAGCCTCGGTGCCAGGCTCTGTAGCGAGCATTTTACGTACATTAATTCTCACTACCCTGCGAGGATGGTACATTTCCTATCCCCATTTAAACATAACAGAATTGGGGTTCAGAGAAATCACATGACTTGCCCCTGCTCACGCAGCCGGTGAACCCACTCAGAACTTGAAGTAGTCAGTGACCAAAGCCTAGACCATGGGAGTTTTTTACACACTTCTTTTCCTTAACAAGACGCCTGTTTCCTTTTTGCTATAGCATCATTTTAAATGATTTCACCATGTTCACTTACGTGGGAGTGCAGTGGTTTCTCCACCCCATCTCCTTTTGTTGGACATTTATTTGTTTTTCTATATTTACTTTTAGAAATAACATTGCAATGAACATCTTTTATGCACATCCACAATTTGCCTAAGACAAAGTACTACAAGCAGCACTGTTGCATCAGTGGGCATGTGGGACTTCACTGTCGAGGTTTTGGTACACTCTGCCAATTGTCTTCTCAGAAGGGCGTAGCGGTTCATAGTCTCCCTAGCAGTATATGCCAATGCCTGATGCCCCAAGCCCTCAGCAATATTGGTAGTTAGCAATTTGGCTACTTTTTTAGCCTTTTAAAAAGATTCTAGGTGCCCTTGTTCAGGTCCATATTCTTGCCTCTAATACTCTAGAGCAGTGGTCTCCTGACTGGTTCCTTTCTCTCCACTCTAGACTTCACTTTGTCACAAAGGGAATTGTAGGACAATGGGCTCTAGAGTTTGATGGCTGGGTTCAAATCATGGCTGTACTACTCTGCCTCAATTTCCCCATCAATAAAATGATAATAAAAATCAAACCTCTCTTGTAGTGGTGCTAGATGAGAGTTGATGTAAAGTACTTTAGAATAGTCCTTGATTCTTGCTACATGCTCATTCATTGTTTGCTACCATGATTGTCTTCCAGAAGTTCATGCTCATATAATTAAAAAACCAGAGGTTACGCTTGGTTTGAATGAAATATGATTACCAAATTTGTAGAAACCAAAGCTCTGCCATTGTAGTATTGTTAGTATTAACACAGGTCACAGATAATCGTCCCTGCCTGAGTTGATGCTGAGAGGTCAAGGATAATGAATCAGGAAACAGTAGTAACAGGAATAACTAGAATGTTAAAGTGCTTTATAATCTCACAGAGCACTTTCTCTCGCATTATGGTGTCCGATCCTCACAGCACAGCTTTGAGGGAGGCGGAGCAGCAGTTATTAACCTCATTTTACAGAGGAGAAAGTTGACTGGGAGGAATTCAGTGACTTGCTCATCCCTAAGGGCACAGAAATGGTCAGTGGCAGAGTGGGGTGTGCACTCTAGGCTGGCTGGCTGTCAAGTCCACACTCTTGATGCCTCAAGACAATGATGAACCGAGGAGGTGCAGGTGTAGATACCCAGGTCTAGAAGTCTAATCTCCCTACAGTTTCTACATAGACTAATGAGGAATCAGGAATGCCTCTATAGTATTCCCCCGAATCTGCTCTTCACCTAGCAGAGTGATCTCTTTGATGTGCAGTCACGTCTTGGCACACTCCTGCCTGAGCCCACATGACATTCTCCCTACCATGGCCGGCAAGGCCAGGCATGATCTGGCTTTGCCTGCTCTCCAGCCTCACTCTGTCACTCACTCTAGAACACTATGTTCCATCCCCACTGGCCTCTTTTCAATTCAAGATACATGCCAACCTCTTTCTTGCCCCCAGGATTCTGCAGGTGCTGTTCCTTTGCTCAGAACGTGTGCCTGTGCATGTGTGTGCTTGCACACATGTGCGCACACACCTTCTTTATGGCTGACTCCTTCCCTTTCAGGGAGGCAGTTCCCAGGGAGCCCTGGAGCAGGCTGCTCGGGTTCACTTGGCTTCCTCATTTACTAGCTCTGTATCCTTGGGCAGGTTCCCGCACCTCTACCTTACCTGAAACATAAGAATTGTAATCACAATAGTACCTTTTCCAGAGTTCTTGGGAGGTCTAAGTGGGTTAATTCATGCAAAGCTCACAGAAAACTACTCTGTGCAAAGAAGTGCACATCTGTGCTTAGCTGTTATCAAGATTGTCATTTTTCAGGTGTCAGGTTAAATCTCACCTCAGTCAGAGAGCCATCCAACATTGGTTATTCTCTCCAATATTCTCTTGCTCATCCCCTGCAGCATGTCTCGGTATGCAGTTATTTTTATTTCCTTTTTCTGTTTCCTGCTCTAGCCTGTGACTCCACAGAAATGGGGACTGTGATTGTGTTGCCCACGGCTAGGTCTCTGCTGCTTAGCATATAGTGTTTCTAGAAAGAATGAACGAATATTAACCTACCACAAGATTGCAGAGAAATTCTACCTCCGTTTTCTTGCTGTAGTTTGATGGTTTCATTTCACGTTATCAAATATTTCATCGGTATGAAACCTTGTTTGAAGCGTGATTTGAGATGTGAATGAAAACTAATTTTTTCCCAAATGAGTAGCCAATTGCAGTGTTTGTAATTTCTTTTAAAGAAGGCTCAACCCAAATTACAGTCCTTTGGAACTTTGATCTTTCTTTTGCTTTTCTCTCCTTGGGCAATTCTTTTGCAAAATGTCAGTGCAGAAACTCTTCATCTAGGTGAGTCAAATTCCTCATGAGCATGTTCCCCGGTTCCCAGAAGGATACTCCTAGGGTCCGCTACCACGGCCGAGCTTTCTAAAGGAAGACCGAACGTTACCACCTCGGGACTTTTTCTCATCTGCTCAATACTTAATGCTGTAAAACCAGCCGGATATTTTAGACAATCTTATTTTAGATATTCTGTCTGTCCTTTTTCAAAAACTATTGAACCCCAGCTGGTATGGCCCAGTAGGTTGGGTGTTGTCTACAAACCTAAAGGTCCAAGGTTCCATTCCTGGTCAGGGCACATGCCTGGGTTGTGGGCCAGGTCCCTGGGTCGGGGCGTGCGAAGGGCAACTGATTGATGTTTCTTGCACATCAATGTTTCTCTCTCTCTTTCTCTTTTCTTCCTTCCCCTCTCTCTAAAAATAAATAATAAAATCTTTACAAACACTTTTAAGAAAATTCTCACCCAAGGACATTTTTTCATTGCTTGAGAGAGAGAGAGAGAGAGAGAGAGAGAGATGAGAGGTGAGAGAATCATTGATTGGTTGCCTTTTCATAGGCGCCCTGACTGGGAATCAAACCTACAACCTAGGTATGTGCCCTAACTGGGAATTGAACCTGCAGCCTTTTGGTTACTGGGTGACACTTCAACAACTGAGGCACACCAGCCAGACCCTAAATAAAAATCTTTAAAAAATGATTGAAACCTAGAAACTTCAACATTTCAATGACTATATTACTTTTCCTTAACTGCTTCTTGTGTTTAGTTGAGGGACAAAAATCCTTTGGCACAGACCATTTATTGTAGTTTGGAAAACTTGGTCACCATTCTTTTCCATATTTTAACTTTAGAAGTTAAAATTAATGACAAAAATAATACATGCCCATTGTGACACATTCTAGCCATAAAAGATATATACAGAAAAAAGGTGACTCTTGCATCTTACTTTCTGGTCAACCCCTTAATATAATCACTGCTGAGTTTATTATATATTCTTGTAGACTTTTTTGTGCTTAGTAAATATGGGGGGTGGGGCAAAAGTAGGTTTACAGTTGTGAGTATACAAAACCCAGTTTATTCTTATATTACTGTTTACTAATTATTGTATTATTTTCTATGTGAACAATTGTAAACCTACTTTTACACCACCCTGTACTATATATTATATGCTTTCCCTTTCTCTCTCTCTCTCTCTCTCTCTCTCTCTCGCGTGCTCGTCCATGCTTTTTTGGACAGTGTCATAAACCGACTTTGTTTTACACATCAGTGGGCTTTGAACATACTTGAAGCCTTTGTTTTCTGGCTGGCAGCCTCTTAGAGAGGTCACTACGTGCCATCTTCCCAGGCCTTTAGACACCAAGTCCTGCTTAGTCTGTGTGAAGCACTGGATGTAATCTTCTGGAGGGCAGGGCTCGCGCACGATCGGGAACATGGTGTAACCTGATGATGATTTTCCCACTACAGAAGAAAAAATGAAGCCTTAAAAGGGGAGCCAGTGGAACGGGAAAGAAGAAAATTCTTCTGAGTTCATGAGGGTGTACATTTAGCAAAATGTTTTTCACTGGGTGACATAAGAAGTACTTTGAGTTCCAGGGATGGCAGATGGGGTGCTCGCAGGTTATAAAATTTTTCTTAACGTTATCTCTAATCAGTCTCTTCCGCCTTTTCGTTGTTGTCACTGGTCCATGAGAACAGGAGATCACATGTGGGATGGAGCAGGGTGGAGGGCGGTGACCCCCGGGCTGTGCCCTTCACACTGGCGTGAGAAAGCCCGCAGCCGGCGGGCCGGCCGCTTCTGATCTATGGCACCGCATTCCGGAGAACTGACTGTAAGGGTTTCTGGAAGTGATGGCGGCTCTGGACTTGG